GAGAAGAAAGCAGTATCCGTTTTCTCTGAACCTTCAAAACCGTAATAAAGTCCGATTGTTGTTTCTGTGTCAAGTTGATCTCCCACTTTGTACCGTTTAATTTCAAGCTGATTTAACCGTTCGTCATTTGGCGATGTCTTTTTTAGTGACCATTTCCATGTAATCGTCGTCGATTTTGTATTCGGATATGTCATTTTAATCTCTGAAGCAGAAGGATCTATCCAATTGTAAGCACCTAAAGAAGAAAATGCGTTTGAAATAGCAACGAAATATTGTTCTTTTATGGCATGTACATATGGGGCATCMCCAAGAAAGACGTTGCTAACTGTCAATTTGTAACTTACTTGAACGCGGCAACTCTGTGTAAAAGGTCACTGCAAAGAACAGCAACACTGCCACTCTACCAGACATAGTTMGTCTCTGCCGTCCTTTTCTTTAAAAACGTAAAACAAACGATGCAAACACAGGGAACAGAGAAGCGTTTGTGTTCATTATGCATGTCTAGAAGCCGCCATTTTATTTTTRTTGAATTTACCGCTGTACATACAGAATAGAAATTGGATGCGTGMGGAACTTGACAGCTATGTAGAATTGTCTTGCGTGCACTCCGCTCTAACGCTAGGCGGTGATACGTAACATGTACCACACGATGAATTTATAAATAAAAAACAAAAGTAAAAAGCTTGGAAGTAGAGCTTGTCCAGTAACCATTCTCAAGTTTACGCACAAAAACTTGAAAAATTTAGCATATTATGAGTCACTGGTCAAAACCTAATCTTACGTTAGTCAGAAAAAATTACAGGTTAGTAGGATTTAATCGTGATTGCGCAAATAGAACCCCGGGATAGAACCATATTACAAATTTTATAAGTATTTCGGCATCTCGCGCTGAAGTTGTTTTGCTATTCGATGCCGAGGTCGATGATATTTTCATGAGACATGATATTTTCACATATTTTTCGGATTACATGTAAGATACTTAAAATCTTTTATGATAATTTGTTCTAACTTTTATTCCTCTTTATGTCGTACWGTATGAAAACATTAAAATAACATTGTTATTAATATCAGACATATCTGGTTGTGTATTCTTAATTTGCATAATTTTTACCCAGCAGTCAAGCGAAACCGGATGCATCAACTGACAGACTCCGTGAACCGTTGATTATGGCAACCATAGAACTACCGAACCGTGTTTCGTTCTATTTGTGAATATTTTTTTTTCGATAGGACTTTAATATAAAGTTTAATTAATTGAGTTGTATTAGCCTCCGTAAAGTACCTATTGGTATAAACCATGTCGCCATCCAGCGAGATATCAACGACAATCAATGTATCGAATGTGGAATAATACGAAACTAGTCATGGAGCAGGAATGAATGTTGTTCGTTAATATTTATCTATGAGACGTGTGTAAATGAAGCATCGCATGCCTCCATGTTATTGGATGGATCTAGTAGTCTATGTACTGGGATTTACTTTAATTGTTTCCAATACAGGTAAGCGACTTGTGTTGCTTGTGGTTAATTGTGCTTCAGTTTTGCGAAATCCGAAAGATGTACTGTAAGCTCATTAAAAACTGTTCCGTGTTCGATGAAACAAGTAAAATRAGTATTTCTTTTTTAACTGAAGTAGACCTGAATTTATGTCGAGGTTTGTCCAAAATACTTCTAATTAAAAAACGTACTATTTGGACGTAAATATTAATTTTAATATGAGTCGGTCTACTGGATGCAACAGTGTCATTCAGTTTTTGACAATAATGAATAGGTATGTCATTCGGATATCAGATGAATACTTTAAATGTAAATCTACACATGTTTTTTCTTTAACCTGGATCTCTGAGTATGTTTGTTGCAAGATATTTGTACCAAAAGTTTACAGTTACAATTTGGTCCCAATGATTGACATCTATACGCATTCCAGGATAGAGAGAGTAAAAATTGTTGTTTTGCCTTCTAAAATACGCAAAAATTAATCATGAAGACTTTTRATGGCTGCAAAAGTGAAAAAACTGTTTGTAAGAAGAGGAGTGATTAGGGCTGAGAAGACTTGTTCTAAAAAGCTATGTCTGCCTATTTCAGACATTTTGTAAAGCTTAAACCCCTATCTGACATGGAAACTATCTCCCAATATATAGTCGATTGACAAAAGGTTGTCGTCAACAGGGTTTCACGAAATGCAATCAGCCCAAACTGGTTTCTGGGTAAAAGTCAATGACCGGGCAAATTAGAGATTTGAACGTCTTTGTGATTGAAAAAAAACCAACAAAATGTGTGACAAAAATTTCCAAAGCCCATGAATTTGTGTGTCGATATTTGCATCTCACATTGTTTCCATCATGGTGTGGAATAAAACGGTCAATATTTGACTTTGAGTTCTTAAACAAGAGAATAAAAACCGAAACAAATTGACACTATACTAGAATGCCAGTTCATTGATTTTTACCCAGAAAGCTGTTCGGGTGGGTCGCGTGCGACAAAGTCCGGTTGACGACAACCTTTTGTCAATCGACTTTATACAATATAGTGTATCTGTTGCAGYGGCTTGTCCAGAATTTGAAGGATTTTTCAAGGGGATCCCATTTTGGTTTCCTCTAATTAGGACATTTTTTTTGTCCTTTTGATTTTATAGTAGGACACYCCTATTTAAAGACAACTGAAGGTGAAATATATTACCCTGTTCAAGACACAAAGGGACCCACACACCAACCCCAGAAGGCTGCCCATGTTGATGCTTCACATGTTGATAAAAATTAATGTGTTTTCATTTTTGTGCGTGCGTGTGTGATCTGCCCCTGTGTGAACTGATTTCTTTTCATTTTTTTCAAGTTTTTTTTAATTTTGTTATTAATGCATTTGGAAGCTGTCTCATTCTAGTTTTCTGTCCTACAAGACACATTATCTGTTTTATTAACTTGTTTCATAAGAATTTCTGTGTTCTATGATGTCATCAGACCATATCTGGTCCCTGGGTTGTAACAGTGAGACAAAGAGTTTTTACAATTTAACAGCTTTTCAAAATGACAAATGTCCCTTTAATAAAGATACAATAAATCTCACTTAAAGTACAAAGCAGATATATTTTTGATTTTTTAGATAGCTCAGATTTGTTTTTGTTGAAATAGCAATAATAATAAATATGTATAAATATTAAGGGATATGTAAATTGAAACCCCATTTTCTTTTGATTCTGACCTTCTTTTTCCATTTCTGGGCATCATTTTTTATCTGATCACCCAAGAATATTGCATGTAGTGCTTATCGATTTCAAGCAAATCTAAAGCAGCGTTTACACAAGCATTTTTTCCTTGACAAGTTTCTTGACAAGGAAAAATTGCCCGTGTGAATGGTCAACAAGTTTCCCTTGTCAATTCTTTCTTGCCACATTTTCCTTGTCCATTTACACAAGCAAATTTCGTCCTTGACAATTTTTCCTTGTCGAGGGAAAGCGAACTTGTTGGCTTTTCCCTGACAAGGAAAATTGTCCATTTTACCCCATTTACACGAGCAATTTTTCCTTGTCAAGGAAAAATTGCTTGTATAAATGCCGCTTACTGTATAAGGACAGAGAACATCAATCACATTCTGATCAGCAACCATGGTTAGTCCTTTACACATGAAATAAAAACTGATCAGCAGGCCATTTGCACGATGGGGTCACTCACCTGGTTCTTGAGGTTTGGATTTTTGTACTCTTCTTTACTGTTTTTGTTGATGCTATAAAAAAGCGTTGTTTTAGTAGGGAGGAGTGAAGAAATCAAAGCTCTGGAAAGACAGAAGACCTCAAGCTGAACCTTTCTTTTGTATTTTAATTAATACTCAAGAGCAAAATCTCTTCTGTTTGTGAACGAATATTTTACTTTTGGCTTTTTTAGATATTCCTGTGTATACCTTTYTGTGTCTTCTATTTGATATAAGTTAAGCTTATATATGTAGGCATGTTTTTTGTATAATTCTACGGCATGATGAGTTAACTTATGAACAATAGAGAATCTCCAAGAAAACCTGACCTTCTCAGCAGTGGTCTCATAGTAATTATTGTCTTCTTTCGTTTTTTTTTTTCCTGTTTTAGGTCTTTAAGCGCATTGTTAGGCACTCGACTGTCGAATGTAGTACAGTGGCTGTGATAAATAAAAGGAAAAGAGACAATATAAGCATACTAATATTAATTTTCATTTATTACAACGATGATATTTTAAGCAACTTTTATTACCTTCAGCCAATTTTAAGCTTACTGCAGACCACGAGTAATAGGGAAAATAGGACCTCAAGTTTTCAGATCTCACCATCCTCATAACAMGTCCATCGATTAAAGCGAGGCGAAAGACAATTTGTTATAATTATGTTATGCTATGTACTGTTATTGATATAGTACAGTATTAAAAATATACAATAAAAAGTACCTCCACATTCCACCAGGACACATGGAAGTCARCGCCGAAGTATTTCAGTTTACTGTAACTTTCTTCCCGCTCTTTATTTCGGTCCAAAGTTATCACGTGGTCCGATTTTACATGTAAAGACCGCTGGCTATTCCTTGTCATATGACAGTGTGTATTGGAGTGACCTGATTGGTTGATGTCGAATTTTTCCGTGGTAGAGCGAATATTAATAATAACTTCAAACGTAAAATTAAARCAAAAGTACAACGAAAATGCCGAAATTCAATGTGGTACTATTACTAGCGGCAGAAATCATTGAGAAAGACGAATTTTCATTCAGTATTCAGACGAAAATCTTCCTTACATAAAATTCCCGCGATGTTCAGTGCATATTGTCTTTGAATTACTTTCTCTTTGTTGATTGGTCTACACAGAAAAGTCTARACCTTTGCCCAGTAATACATTCACGGCCACGGTCTATTTTTTTGGTATCTATTTTTTCTATTTTTTACCGCTCGCTTGGTTAATAAAAAATTTCCGGGATGCAAAGTAGGCTACTGAATATGGAATCAGTCTCAAATGATGAATTGAAGGAGGAAGATAGGTTTTGTATTTAGACGACATTTCCGAGAGATAAAGCGCGGAAACAATAGTAGAATGACGGCCCTTCCATTCAGTTTCTTCTATTTTGATTTTTTTGCGTTTCAGACTGCATCTCGTGTTCGCGTCGTTTAGTGCGCGTGGACGTATCGTGATTCTAATCTTAGCATTGGTAGGCTCAGGGAAGGCCATTAAATTTAATGAAATCCATAATTTTTTAATTGAACTTGTTCGCGACGAAAAAAACGATTGCACAAATATCAGAGAACATTCGCCATTCGATTCGGGGGAGGGAGGGGAGGGGTTGCAGAAGTGCGCTAATACTCTCCAGTTTCGAGATCTTATTTGTGCAGCCTTAACCTCGAAAGCATGTAATATATGCTTTTGTTTAGCAGAGATCCTATTGTTATGCAAACACTCTGTGTACAAAGAAGACAATACAAATTTATGCTTGATTGAAGCTAAGCTTAAACAAAAGAGAATTCGAAACTGGAGTATTATCCTCAAGTGACTTTATACGTTTTCATATAAATGACTTCATATTTTTTCAAAAAGAAAACTTAGTGTAATTGTAAACTGACCCGACATAGCGAAAAGGCCTCACGTTTCCAAAACTCACCATTCTCAGTCAAGCCCTAGTCAGCATGATACATTTTATATAAAGTAATTCACAGCAGATAAACAGTGATGCAGTACATGTCCAATAGGGCGCTTGGATATCTACATCTAGATCCAAATATAGAGTGAGAAGAACTGTCTGATGTAACTGATATTTATATATTCTTAAATATCTTTCATATACAGCCTTTTGCACAAATTATGAGACATTTTTATATATATAAATATACCTAACCAAATA